TGAGAAAGTGTTATCCAAATATAACTTTTGTTACATTTGACCACGTTTGTAATGGCATTGTGTGTTCGAAGCTTTCGGCCAGGGGAGCCGTGCCATTTTTCACTTGTCAGAGGGGTACACAAAGTACGTGATCTGGACTAACAGTTACTGACTTTTATTTTTGGTGGAAGCATCGATGGCTGGGTTAGATCGCTGACTTTGTGTGCTGGTGATTGGGTGCCTCACTCACAGTAATAATATCACAGACATTTACGGATATTGATAACGACTTGACGGAGCTTCGTAACGCAAGTCTTCTCAATTCAGGGATGGGTAACTAAAAAAAGTCACTAAATTTGCGTCACAATCATTCTGTCTCCTTTCATTTGTCATCTGAAATAACATCCCTTCGTGCACTTGTGCTATCTACTCAAGTTACCAAACACACCCTGTTTACACACTTACAAGATATATATTACGCTGAGGAGAATTTACGATTATACGTTGATACGTCTAACTGCTGGCCTGGGTGTTTGTTTGTTTGTTTGTTTGTTTGTTGTTTAACGCCGCACTCAGCAATATTCCGGCGGTCTGTAAAATAATCGAGTCTGGACCAGACAATCCAGTGACTGACATCATGAGCATCGATCTACGCAATTGGGATACGATGACATGCATCAACCAAGTCAGCGAGCCTGACCACCCCATCCCGTGAGTCGGCAAGCATGGGTTGCTGAAGACCTATTATGCAATGCCATATTTCTTATCGCCAGGAATCACAGGTGTGAAACCAGTCTCCCTCAAGGCGACGTCAGATTAAACTCTTTGCTTCGTCAATGCTTCGTCTCGCCCAAACTGGTAACTGGTACCACTAGCAACGATACAATGGCGTACAAAGACTTACAATGAGTCAAGCATCCGTCACTCGATTTCCATTTTCTTGCATTTAGAAAGCACGATTGATTGTTTGATTGATAGATAGATGGTTTGAGTTAATTGATTTGGTAGATTGATTGAGTTGTTTGTTTGAGTTGTTTTATTAAATTGTTTGATTGAGTTGTTTTATTAAATTGTTTGATTGAGTTGTTTTATTGATTGATTTACTTGTTATATTGATTGTATTGTTTTATGAAGTTGATTGATTGTTTTATGAAGTTGATTGATTGTTTTATTGGTTGCTTTATTGGAGTGAGTGAGTGAGTGAGTGAGTGAGTGAGTGAGTGAGTGAGTGAGTGCCTGTTCCACTGGTATGTCCGGATCTATCTGGGTACGGGTCACCGGCTTAGCGTCACCGATCTAGATATATCTATGCAGGAATAGGTCATCCATGCGGATAGCGTAATCTCGATTAATGTATTCAGGAACCTCTCGTGAACAACATTTATTAAAAATGCTACCGAAGAATCAAACAAGTTTTGGCTTCTGTGGAGGAATCATTCTAATATTTCACATAACCGTTAACGTACTTCTTGAATGTTGTCACGCCATTCATTCAGACAGATCTCGAAGATATGTTAATATTTATGCGAGGACAACGGATTAGATATCGCGAGGCCGGTTCACAATTCGTAAAAGTCTGTGATATGTCATGAATAGCCCATTGCATCTCCTGTTCAATAGACTTTCTGTTGTACGTGTTGTCACAGAGCCACAAACTTCGGCCAATGGATCAGATAAAAGCAGGACTGCTGGAATCGGTTGAGGTCAACTTCCCATGACATAAACCCCTACTTGACAACCGCTGTAAGAAAGTGCCGCCATTCATGTACACAGCCCTGTGGATGAATGAACGACCTACCGAGGCCAGTAGCGCCACCTAGTGAGATATAATGGAAGAAGACCAACTGAGAGTTGAATCTTGACATACTCCGGTGCCATCTGCAGAACCTTGGTTAGAAATGCCACAGTGATTTATGAGAGTTTGTGAGTGAGTCGGATTTTACGCCACGTGAGCAATGTTCCAGCAATATCACGGCGGGGGATTCCCACATTGTGCCTATGAATTGCAGAGAATCGAACCTGGACTTTCGGCACGAGGAGCGAACGCTTTTACCACTAGGCAACGCAAGCGGCCTTGATCATATGATCAATTATATGTGTTTTCATTTTTCAAATGTTAAAGTTTGCAATCACAGATAATGTTTATCACCACTGTAAAATGCAAGGATATCAGCATATTATCACCATCACCATCATCACCGTCGTCACCATCATTATCATCACCACCACCATCAGCATTAGCATCGCCACCGGTATCGTTATCACAGGTATATACGGTACTCCACACAGAGATTAACGAAGGGCATCTATTTGATCAGGGGTTATTTAAATATCTATAATAGCTGTGTGTCAGTATATCCAGTTTCTGTCAGTGCAGAAATATATCAAGTCGGTCAGCTGTGAACACGGTTCTTCAGCATCCGGCATCAGCTGATTTTCTTACGTCCTTGACACACAAAGACCTCTTGACATGATGTAACTTACCAGGGAGAGGGGATAGTCGGATTGCAGACACGAGGTGGATGTCGCCCAAATAGTGTTACGAACTACCAGAAACCGTTTCATAGATCATGCTTTCTGTCTAGGAAACTATTCATTACTGCTGTACAGTATCAAATATATTAGAACAGTAAAAACAATAACGACACCAATTCTCAAACTGTTTAAAATTATATTCCCAGGATATATATACACAACCGGGCAAAAGAAAATGCCTGCCAAGCTAATATCACTCCTGTGTTCAGTGAAATTGCGATCCCCGTGGTCATGTGCACGTCACCTATTGTGAGACACTCATTAATATGTTGCATGTAGTATCGCCTAAGATACCCGAAGCAAATATATCTCCATCGAATAACCATTTCTTGTTTGTTTCATTTTTAAGCACCATCAAACATGGGTGTATACTTACTTTTGCCCGGCAGTTTACACAAGTTACAATTACTTCCCAGACGATTGGAACATGGTGGTCGCAATTACAAATTGCTCAGTGAGGTGAGGTGAAATGGGGTTTAACGTCGCGTCCACGATTATTGCACTTTTATAGCAATGTGCATGTCCACAGCAAGGCTACGAATTCACAACGTATTGTGGTAGGCACAGTATAACTCATGATTCTGGATTGAGGGAGGGCCGTATTCCTTCTCCACGAAGGGAGAGGCGAAAGCTGAAACTTGGTGAGATTTACAGAACAAAGGCAGTTATTTCTAGTTTCTTACTGACTCTCGACTCTCGTGTGTGTGTGTGTGTGTGTGTGTGTGTGTGTGTGTGTGTGTGTGTGTGTGTGTGAATGTGGGTCTGTTGGATATTACATAAAACATTCATCTTGAGCGGGATGGTAGTTCGAGTTGGATAAGCATGTTTACTATGATCTTCTTAAGGTAAAGAATGCCGCGCATGAATGTATCAATGAGATTCCCAGGTACATGGGGCGTTTTCGGCAGGAATTTCCACACAGTGGAGACGTAAATGGGGATCGGGTAAACATAATGTGGTACCTGGTAGATTGTGTGTCATCAAACCGGACAACTTTGGTCTTCGACTGATTGTGGCGTAAAACACACTTATTCATTTACTTGTATCGGAAATTTAATGTTCATCTTAATTGTTATTGATGAACACGTAATATATTTTTAAGGAAATAAAACAGTGACTACAACTTTATGTGAGTACGAGTAGCTTTATTGGAGATGGAGATGAATAAGTGTTATAAAGCTTCTTCACAACCGTGTAACCATGAATTTGGTAAAATCCCAAAACACATATCGACCTAAAATAGCCAAAAATCATACGATTTCACTTGTCCACCATCTTGGATGCATGGCTAAAACATTTCGGCGCGTTTGAAGCTACTGAGAATGCCCCCTGCAGAGTTGGACGAACATTCTGTGGTAGCGCGGCGGTGTTGACAAAAGGCTGTCAAAAGTATTTCCTGTCCAGGTTATTTAGGTCCCTTGTGTGTGTGTGTGTGTGTGCGTTTGTGTGCGTTTGTGCGTGTGTGTGCGTGTGTGTGCGTGTGCGTGCGCGCGTTTGTGTGTGTGCGTTTGTGTGTGTGTGTGTGTGTGTGTGCGTGCGTGCGTGCGTGCGTATGTGTGTGCGGGGGGAGCGTGGGAATGGGGAGTGTGGGAGTAAGGGGATAGATAATGGATTTAACAACAAGTAAGGTCATCTTGAGCGAGACGGTTTTCGTAGATGGATTAGCATAATATTATGAACTATGATTCTCTTTAGGTAGAAAATAAAGATCCACGATGTTCGACCTGGTAGAAGTGTGTAATCAAACCGCACAGAATTGGTCTTTGATTGACTGTGGCGTCACAAAAACTTGTTCATGTACTTCATCTGAATGTTCATCTTAATTGTTATGGATAGTTACGGAGCCGTGATCCAGAAAACAGGGTGTCTTTAGATAAAAATGAAGTTATAATATCGTTCTCTCCCAGTAAATTCCGATGTCAAATAACGACGTTATTTGGACGGAAAAACGATGGTTTGAAAGCATCAAAATAACGTCGTTTTTCTGTCCAATGACCACATACGGAAAAAACCGACGTTTTCGTGTTTGCAGTGCAGGCCAGTGGAATGGAATTGGCTATTGATGGTTATTGAACCATATCAGACCATCAATATAACTGAAGCTGAATGTCTAACTTCTTGACCAAAAGTACCTTGTTTTGACTTTGACAATCTGGGCGTATGCATAAAGAAAGAGATCATCATGAATGGTAGCATAATGGGTACTCATTAGGATGTATACTTCTTGCCTTAATGTCTTAACCCCGCATTGTAAATAAATGTTATCATGAGGAAGTCCAGCTTTTCATATATTGTTTTCTAAGTAAACTTCATATTGCATTTGCTTTCATTTTTGACAAATTGACCTGAACAAATGCTTCACAGTGAAATATTATCAATGTTCATAAAATTTAATTCTTAACACAAAATATTAAGATTATTTGTAACATAACACAAAACAAGGCTCGAGAAAGTTGGAGACAATACCGGAATGTTGTTGCACCGACCTCCATACATGTAGACGATGTTCCTGCCGGTCATGTTCTTGTGTTCCTCATTGAGCCAGTACTGCCTGTCAGGGAGGATGACGGTGGCGTCACTCTCCCACACCAGATCGCCGGTGTTCATGTTGTTGACGATGCCAGAGGTGAACCATGTGCCGCTGATGATACAGAAAGATATAATTGGTTCATTATATTCCCCACAGAGTGAGTGAGTATGGTTTTACGCCTCTTTTTGCAATATTCCAGTAATATCACGGCGGGGGACACCAGAAATGGGCTTCACACATTGTACCCATGTCGGGAATCGAAACCCGGGTCTTCTGCGTTACGATCGAACGCTTTAACCACTAGGCTACCCGACCGCCCTATTCCCAACAGATAAAATAATAATACATGAATGCATGTACCTGACCGCTAAAACTACTTTTTATTCTTTAATATGAATTTAATAAAATCATGATAATGATATGAATATTTTGAATCCTTCCCGCTCGAGTGACGTATTTATGACTAACAAAAACAAATGTCTTTGATGTGTTGAATTGTCACCATTAATTGTTGTTTGTTTGCCGACTTTCTAACTCTATGTAGACCTTTGGTTTATGGCCTTTGTTACAGATTTTCTTTACTGAAAACATTTTTTATCACGTTTTTTAGTCACTTGTGTGAGTGAGTGAGTTGGATTTAACGCTGCTATTAACAGTAGTTCGGTATTCCACGGCGTGTCAGCTTAATGTGGGAGGAAAGCCCGAAGTGAGGTATCAGACGTTTACCACTTTGGTGAGACCCACAAGCTAAAAAATTGGAAGCTACTCCAGTCAGAACACGGAACAAAAATAAAACATTACCGAGAGAGGTCATTCATGAGGAGCCAGTTGCTAATGAAAACATGTTCAGCATATAGGTTGACTCCAACCAGGGATGCGCCATGAATCTGAAATTACAAAGCACATGAATGAATGAATGAATGAATGAATGAATGTGTACATAGACAGGCAGTTTACACACGTGTAACTAAATATAGACTATATGCTATTATTTACACCCAAATATATATCTAAAAAACTTTTGAAAATCCTTACTTGCAAAATCTCAACAGTCAGGCATATGTAGGGAAGCGTATCTAATTGCTAGGTTAGACCAGCGCCTTAACACATGAATAGAGAAAAAAGTCATCATATACCGTTACAGAGATATAAGTGTACGTACACCTTTATAGAAACATAAGTCTTCGTACACCTTTATAGAGACATAAGTCTTCGTACATCTTTATAGAAACATAAGTCTTCGTACACCTTTATAGACACATAAGTCTACGTACACCTTTATAGAGACATAAGTCTTCGTACATCTTTATAGAAACATAAGTCTACGTACACAATTATAGATACATAAGTCTACGTACACAATTATAGATACATAAGTCTACGTACATCTTTATTGAAATATAAGTCTACGTACATCTTTATAGAGACATAAGTCTACGTACACCTTCACATAGACATAAGTCTACGTACACTTTTATAGATACATAAGTCTACGTACACCTTTATAGAGACATAAGTCTACGTACACCTTCACATAGACATAAGTCTACGATACCATTAAAGAGATATAAGTCTAGGTACACCTTTACTGAAACAACAAGTAACATCTTTTAACGTCTTTTGGTATGACACAATCAGGGATCGAACACGGACCTTCCATTCACCAGGCAGACACTCCATCGGCTAGTTACAGGCAAAGGTGTCTACGTACACCTTTATAGAAACAGAGTGAGTGAGTGGGTATGAATTTACGTCGCTTTTAGCAGTATTCCAGCAATATGACAGCGGGGGACACCAGAAATGGGCTGCACATTTTGTACCCATGTGGGGAAGCGAACCAGGATCTTCGGTGCGACGAACAAACTATTTAACCACCAGATTACCCTACTGCCCCTTTATAAAAGTAGAACCAAAGTGAGTGAGTGAGTGAGTTGTGTTTAACGCCGCTTTTAACAGTATTCCAGTTATATCACGGCGTGTCAGCTTAGTGTGGGAGGAAAGCCCGAAGTGATGCAGGTCTCAGACGTTTACCACTTCAGTGAAACCCACGAGCACGGGCATGATGCTGACAAACCTAGAAACATATTTGGGGCGAGCCGGGATTCGAACCCACAATCATAGGTTTCTAGGGTGTCCAAGGGACGCAACTCTGCGGACGACTGGGCCACCCGTGCCCCCCTGTAGAAATAGAAGTCAACGTACATTTATATAGAGAAAGACGTCGAGAAACATACAGAACAGAGAGAGTTTGTGTCCGTGCATAAAACTTTATACACACAGACATTATATAAAAGTGTGAAATAACCCACGTAAACCTTGCAGAGTTTTGAGTCAACAATCCTGAAAGTGGTTAACGAAAACATGCTAATGTAAAATGACTAAATGTATCCGGTGCGGGGATGGAATTAATGCCAAACACAACACAAATAATGATAGTTCGATAGATAATGTTTGCTTTTTTATTTTATGTGTCGTCATCATGACAACGAAGAACAAGCGGAAAACAAAGCTTTACATTCTTTATAGATTACTCTGCCTTCGATGTCAGGAAATACATCTTCGTGCAAATTTATAAGATGAATTGTTTGACGTCGGTTGCAATGAGGGAGGTGTGTCATGGCTATAAACGCAGTATGACATTTCACCCTGTCGATGTTTAACCGGCACAACCGGCTGTTTCCTGTACCCTGCGTCTGGTGCTTGGCTCGGGAGTGGGATATGGGAAGGATTTATAGTTTTAGTGCCTACGTATCGGAATACTATAATGATAAAAGTGACGCTGAATCATTGCATGATTTATGGCTCCATTGTTTGCGTCTGCTGTGCTTAGATTATGTGAAGATTTCGAAGCCACGTGACCCTTCACGCGAACATATCCATGCGGTTGTACTGAGTGAGTGAGTGATTGGGTTTAACGCCGCTTTTAACACTATTCCTGTTATATCAAGGCGTGGCAGGTTAATGTGGGTGGAAAGCCCGAAGTGATGCAGGTCTCAGACGTTTACCATGTTTACCACTTTGGTGTAACCTACAAACACGGATATGGTGCTGACAAGCTTTAGAAATATAATCGGGCGAACATGGATTTGAACCCATGGTCATAGGTTTCTGGCGTGTCCAAAGGAATTGCGGCGCCTCGGACGTCTGAGCCACCTGTGCCACCGATATCGTACTGATAATCACTGTATGGTTACTACAGTAAAGTACGGTTATAACGAACTCGAAGGGGTCTCTAATTTTGGTGCGTAATAACCGTAGTTCGTTATATACAACATTTATACAACAAATGGTCGGAACTAAAAAATAAGTTATCGGTCAGTTCGTTATAAGCGTGTTCGTTATAAACGTAGTTTACTGTAACTGCTGAATGCCTAATGAAGCCCATTGATTTGTGATAGGATCTGTCTGTCAACAAATCATCTGGACATAATGGATTTCATATTGCTGTGAGTCTTGAACTGTTGATGAGTCAATTGTTGTTCCCTCGTCAATACTTGAACGAACAGACTATACTACTAGTGAGTGAGTATGGTTTTACGCCGCTTTTGGCAATATTCAGACAATATCAGGGCGGGGGACACCAGAGTGAGTGAGTATGGTTTTACGCCGCTTTTAGCAATATTCCAGCAATATCACGGCGGGGGACACCACAAATGGACTTCACACATTGCACACATGTCGGGAATCGAACCCGGGCCTGAGGCGTGACGAGCGAACGCCTTAACCACTAGGCTACCCCACAGTCCTGACTTCACTACTAATGTCAGAGGATTTGCCTGAAGGATGACAGTGAAGTAGATGTCCTTACACTGACATTACATTTGTAGTGTTCCAATAATAAATAAATATTAAATAGTAACACTATCCTTTCTCCACCAACTGATAAAGAAATCACATTATGCAGAGATTTAAAAGCATATTGATAATGAATGCCTTGTTCGAATAAAACCTATATCAGTTATTGATTCAAGCTATCACGCTATGCTATACATTAACCTACCCCACAGTCCATCTTGGCTTCCTCGTATGTGAGAGAAGGATAAAAAGCAAATTTATAACATTTTTCTGCAAAAGGCTGCCATTCGTCCGGACATTCTGGGGGAAAAAAAGGAACAGTTTTGAAAAGTTGTTGTTTGTCTATGATTATAAATTATATTATTACGTAAGACTTAATAGATTCAGGGTACACTTTACATTAAAGGTACATTAAAGATGTGTGTTTGTTGTTTAATACCCCACCAAGCAATATACCAACTATACGGAGGCGGCCTATAACTTATCGAACCTGGACAACACAATGCCGTTATTGATATTTTGAGCAACGATCCTCACCGTCGGGGCACGATGACATGTGAGTGAGTGAATGAGTGAGTTGGATTTAACGTCGCTTTTAACAATATTCCAGTTTTATCACGGCGGGTCAGCTCAATGTGGAAGGAAAGCCCGACGTGATACAGGCCTCAGACGTTTACACTTCGGTGAAACCCACGAGCACCGGTATGGTGCTGACAAACCTAGTAACATGATTGGGGTGATCCGGGATTCGAACCCACAATCATAGGTTTCTGACGTGCCCAAGGGACGCAAATCTGCACAGCGAATCGCGGCGCCTTAGACGACTGGGCCACCCGTGCCCCCTACGATGACATGTAATCACCCAGCAATATCTCCCTATTCATTCAGTCGCCACTTACGACCAGTAACAGTACTAGTTGCTGGGGATCTGTTCTGGGAATCATAGACATGTTATCTCTGGAAATCAAAATAAATTTGTTGGGGTTTTTTCGGCACAAATTTACATTTCAAACATGGTGTGTCTTCATTGAACCAAATTATGGTTACACACAATTACCCAGCCACAGATTATTTTTTACAAACTGTTGCAGAAATGGGTGATGGTTAAAAAGACATAACCAAAATTAACAATATCTATTTCAATTTTAATTACATAAAAACAAACCCGGTATACTTTCTTTTGCACCTCAATTTATGTGGATTATATTTGGACGTTCCTAACAGTACTTGGGATATATATACATACATACATATACAAAAATGAGGTAAATGTTCACTCGGTGTACATGTAATATATAATAAAATAATAAAGTCCACGTTAGTCCATCATCTTCTTTTATCAGTTTCAGACATAGTACTTTCGCTGTCTCATGACAGCTCTTCAGTGTAACTGACAATGACATATAATATGACGTCATACTTCTGATGACGTCATAATATCAACTGTGACGTCATAATGTATTTATACACTCCAGCGACGACGACGAACCAAGGGATTTTATACTTGTTTACTGAAAGGGGTATGCTTTCAGTAAACAAGTATAAAATCCCTTGGTTCATTTCAGTGATTATGTCTAATTACTGAAAATTTCAGTAATTAGACATAACCACCGAGTGAATCAGTTATTAGACATAATCACTGAAATTTCCAGTTATTAGACTTAATCACTGATTATACTTGTTTCCTGTAACATATATATATGATGAATATATATACTTGGATGAAGGCAAAACTCATTGGGCAATATTTTCCCTTCGATGCTAGTAATAATCATCATATTCGGTCGGTTCATGGTGACTTTTGAAACGTTCACTGCCTTAATATGTTGATGATAAGCTACTTACCGAAAATAACATCGCCAAATCCAACCGTTATAATCCCGCAAACAATGGCGGCATTCAGCAACATCTGAAAGGGGAAGTAGGAAGTAGATCGAATACACCTTTTCTCAAACACCTGGTAGCATCGCCATTTAGGAGTGATTCATAAAACTTGCTTATGATATTCGCGGAATCGTACAATGGGCTTTGCTTTAGTATATTTTATTTATTATGATTATGGATACTGATTATTACCTTCCCACCTTCATGTCATATCAAACAAAATGTAAAACACAATGTAAAACAAAATGGCGGAAACATGGCTTCACTTTGGGTAGCATACATGTACATCCAAACCGTAGAAAACCATTTTCGACTCTTATATACTTAATCGTTAACGAATACAGAGAACTATACATTACATGAGGCATACTGGGTGAACATGCTTACCGTTAGAGTCACATTTAGTCTCCTATTTACTCAGAAATCCCACAGCCTTCGTCTGAGATCATTTTTAAAAATACTCTTTTATTGCTCCATCGACAGGTTTACAACCAGACGTCAGCAGTTTCAACTCTTGACATAGTTTTCCCATAATGCATTTCGCTTTCCTCCGTCTTGATGTATTTGTTTCAAAATCAGAACAGGAATTTTGCAGTGGTAGTGAGAAATTATTGATATGTCAAACGGTGTAATATATGTTAATCATTTCTAGCCCATGCTTTACTGACCGTAGGTTAAGACGACACTATTCTGTTGTAAGTGGTGCAAAAACCGATCGACAGGGTGGTGTACTCTCATAAAACGTTATGGTGCTATTAAGTCGTAAACGCCTCGCCCTGTAAAGCCGCTGAGGCTATAGTGTTTAGAAATGCTTGTCCCTTGATTTCTTATGAAAATTGTGTTTATGATTGAAAACCTATAGAAACTTCATCAACACTTTGGGTCTTGGATTAACTCCTTAATTAATTTCGAGAAAAGCCAAAACCTGTCACACAATAACATAGCAATACTTTCTATAAATAATTCAAGAAGTTTGTTATATCAGTTGTTCAAGATATTTGACTGAATGTTTCAAACCTGTCTTATGCTATGGTTCTGAAACAGGGGTCGTTCACATTGCAATACTATTACCTTTTGACGCCTGTGCTTTTTTGCTGTATCAACTGGAAACAATTGGTAGATTTCGTACATCGGCAACTTGGTGTAGACATTGTTATACAAACTAGGTTTGGGTTTAGTTTGTTTAGAACATGGAGTAGGAGATGTTTCCTTATAATTTGTAAAGAAATAAATTACAGGGCAAAATAAAGTAAACACTTGAAAATTGGATTTGACGGAATATTTACAAATGTTATCAAAGCGTAACTAGGCTGACATACACGCGCCCAAAAAGCTGCCAAAACACACTGTACTATAAAAATTAAGATGGTTATTGAAATGTGTTTGAGAGTGGGCGTTTTGTTTTATCAACTTGACCACTGATAATGCAATAGTTTGTGGTATATTATGATATTTGACATGAACAATTTTGATTGTTTGATATCTTTGAAAATGAGTGTAAGATATTGCCTAGTTAGTTTTGGGAGTATGATTACGGTAGTTCTACCAATCAATCAATCATTTGCTATTCCTGATGGACAAACAGGTGTATGTGGCGAAGTATATGGAGTTTGTAGACATAACATTTAGAAATGTTGGGGTTTACGAAGAAGTATAATTTATCGGTATTTGGGCGCAAATCAGAAGGAAATGATAATATTCATCTTCGATACATATTAACTTACACATTTTGCATATCCATTTTTTTCATTCATCCATACATGCCCTTTTCCCCGAAAGTTTATTGGAACTTGAACTTTACAGCTGATGCCACACGGAATGGATGTACTCTGAAGTACTCAGATGTATGTGAAGTAGACGTGGTGCAGATATGGAACTTATATTGGAAATGAGTGGCATCAATGAACCATCAATGATGCTGTCCATTTTTGCAAGTACATACACACACGTGAACCACCTCAATAGCACTAAAATAATTCAATCCCCAAATATCTCCACCATAACGCAAACTAGGGCGTGTTTCGACATCATATATATCTAGAAAGATGTAAGTGTCACCATTCTCTTGTCTAGTGTCCGACTTTAACATAAGCATGTGTTTATGAAAACACTAAGTCTATCAACTGGTGATGATACAAGGTGTTCGTGAAAAGATGAGCGTATCCTGCTCCATCGGGGATAACCTGATCAAACAACTTCTGTTCTAGAATAGTTTGATGCTTTTTGCAATCTTGGACAAAAAGAGTGAGTGAGTTTGATTTTACGCCGCTTTTAGAAATATTCCAGCAATATCAAGCAGGGGACACCAGAAATAGGCTTCACATATTGTATCCATGTCTGAAATCGAACTCGGGTCTTCGGCGTGACGAGCGATCGCTTTAACCACTAGGCTACCCGACCGCCTCTGGACTAAAAGAGCTCGATTTTGCTAAAACACTTGTAAAATGTAGACACCAAAAGCTGGAAACTTGCTCGAGGGAAAGTTGACTAGTGAAAAGTTAAAGTCATCCATCTTCTCATGCATTTTTATGGGTATTTATTGTCATTCTAATATACAAGGGAAGATATAGACTAACATTTAATCTCTGAAATCTAATATAACACAATAACCTTCTTGACTCTAAAAAAAATTAAAAATTCCCTATGCTGATTTCAGAATAGAGCTAGCTTGAGCTGGCTAGACTTGCTTTTGTATAAATTTCTAGATTATTTTTTTTCATAAAACAAATATATTCCACGGTCATGGTGCAGGACTAAGGAAGATACAGTTAGGAGGAATATTGTCAAAATGATTTCTTGATCTTTCAGTCGTTTGAAGATATATGTTGGTGGTGTTAAATCGATTGCTCATATGTTTATGTGATGTGCTTAAATATTTAATAAATCGAACAAGCTCTTTTCTGCCTTAAGTGTCTTGACGGAAATGGAACTGAACCTATATCGTTATATCATTTAGATTATGCCAGTGACGTCAAGGCGGGAGCTATTCTCTTTGGCGTTGATAAATTTGAACTATGGATCATAGGGATAATTGGCTGGGAAATGGATGACGTTAATTTGTACCAAGTGGGTTTATATCTTTCAAGATGTTGTGTACAATAGTGTATTTATGAAAAATATCAAATATATTTTCCAAAGGCGCGGACAGGGTTTGCATGAGACATATTGCAAGAAAAGGAGAGGTGGACATTGTATTCCTCACAGTCACTTCTTGTAAGAAGGCTCTGGAATATAGTAAGCGTCAGTAACTATTGGAGAGGGAGTGAGTAAGTATGGTTTTACGCCGCCTTTAATCAACATTAAACAGCAAAAATCCCAAAATAAGATCACAGACTACGATACAACCACATGCGACTGTATCATTGTTCTATTTTTTAGTTATTTTACACACTCATTTATAGGTGTACTGGTTAGTATAACTGCATCATCAAGTGCCATCTGCTGAAGCTTAAACTCCGATACTGTGTCTTAACAAGTGTCCAATATTTACAGTGTACAACAACATTATCTTATTGTATATAGGGTCGTTATGTCTCTGGAAGAAATCTGTGCAAAGCATCGTCAAGTACAACACACTCACTTGACATGGGACAGGTGTTCAACGAAGAATAGATCGTGATCATTGTAATATGAACAAAGGGAGGCAACTCAACCGTTCAGATTGTAACGGGGCAAATGAAACGGTGACAATCCGCTGTCCTGTGTACCATACAGCAGTGTAGAGAACACACAACGACCATAACATAGAGGGACACGGGGAAATTCTCCTAATGAATGTAATTGTACGAATTCTTAATTGCTGGGATGAGGATTTTTTCAAAATTGACTTTCCAAGAAACTGTAATGTCTATCCCGACAATCTAAAAGAAATATTTTAAAATAATAATAAAAAATCAATAATTTTTCATAAAGGCTTTACTTTTATGAAATGTTTAAATATAAACTTGTAGATAGCACAGCAAAATAAATAGTGAGTGTTTTTGACGCAGATATTTATCAGCACGATAACTGATTCCAGTGTACTTAATATGGATCGCTGGCTATTGTTTTGAGCATGCATTGACTGCATTGTTAAGGATAAGAAGCGAGGGACGGGGTTTGCCGCAGTCGGATAACGGACGTCATCGCTGAAGCTACTGTCAGTTTACAACAGACAGAATGACATGTACAATGGAAATTCTAAATCATTATTGCGGTAGAAGGTCTCATTCACTATGTATCCCAACATTTTATAATTTAGACTGGTTCATATTCTCTGGCGTCGGCGTGCTATATTTACATTGGTATATACATGTACATCCGATTTCTTTACCGGATTCTTTGTGTAGTCAGGTTCAATGAACTGCATACTACCTGTGCGTTTCATTTTGTGAAGAGTGTACATATTTACCTTTCGAAATGATGTTCGATCTGGCGTCCTCTGTGTGACTGGTGTTATTGATTTATATACGTGTGCTAAGTTAATATATAGTCTTCAAAGCACCCCGTCGTAATAAAGGAAGAAGACATCCCGCAGACTCAGTATGTTAATAAACTACATACTGACAAGATTCGTGAAGATCCGGGGAAGAATAGGTCTTCAGCAACCCATGCTTGCCGTAAAAGGCGACTATAGTTGTCGTAGGAAGCGACTAACGGGATCGGGTGGTCAGGCTCGCTGACTTGGTTGATGCTTGTCATCGTTTCCCAATTGCGTGGATCGATGCTCATGATGTCAATCACTAGATTTTCTGGTCCAGACTCGATTATTTACGGACCGCCGCCATATAGCTGGAATATTGCTGAGTGCGGCGTTAAACAACAAATAAATAAACCAACAAACAAACATTTGTACAATACCTAATGTCAAAACGAGTTAGGATCCGTCGGCATACCAGAGAAACTAATAACATATATTTCCTTCCAAGAAGTTCATGTGATATATCTAACTATAGTATAGAATCTTGCTAATGACCCATTTTATCAATTCGGTACAGACCAGTCGTTGATTTTGTTTAAAGTGTCATTCTGTGTCATTCAATATTTTCACCACAGCTTTGTCTACCACGGTAAGCCGGTGAGTGTCAGTGGTTTTATGGTAGACATGTGATTAATTACAGGCTGCCGTAATGTTGATGAATGCGTCGTCAAACAAAAAACAAGCAAATAAACAAAGAAAATACAAAATACTCATACTAACCATAGTAATACATTATTTGTTTGCACGTATTTCTACAATATAGTGACAGTAAAATGTACTTTCTCCAAACCATAACACATCTTTCGGCAAGAGCGAGCTCACTAGGCGCAATATATCCAATCGACATGCTGTCTCAACCTTTTTACTCTATAAAGCAAGAAAATGAATGATTATATTTTGTTTTTACAATTTAATCGTCTATAAAAGAGCTCTGGTCAGTGTGACCGTCGTTCGGTGCTGTCGTTCACTGTTGTTATTTGATACTTTTTCAATTCCCCTGTGAAGGTTTGAAAGCCTGTGAACTACATCACAAAAGTGTGAGTGAGTTGGGTTCAAAGCTGTTTGAACA